TAGTTCATACCCCTGGCGGTAGGAATATCCTAGGTTGGGAATCAAAGTTCTAGTGTCTCTGCAGCAAAGATTGGAATTTTTACACCTTGGCTCTTGAGACCAAATAGTTGCCAATTACCCTGTAATTTCCTCCTCACAAACTCACATACACTGCTTGTTTGAAATGCAAAGTGGAGATGGGGAAAGACAACACAAAGCTGTTTTAACAGCAGCTTTTAACACAAGTTAGGGCTTCCAATTTAGATCATTCACTGGGTATTGTTGTTGTTAAGTCCTTAAGTCGTGTCCAACTCTTAGTGACTCCATGGACGAGAGCATGCCAGGCCCTTGTCCTCCACTGCCTCCCGGAGTTGGGTCGAATTCATGTTGGTAGTTTCGGTGACACTGTCCAACCTTCTCATCCTCTGTTGTCCCCTTCTCCTCTTGCCTTCACACTTTCTCAACATCAGGGTCTTTTCCAAGGAGTATTCTCTTCTCATGAGATGGCCAAATTATTAGAGCCTCAGCTTCAGGATCTTTCCTTGCAGGATCTTTCCTCAGGGTTGTTTTCCTTCAAAATGGATAGGTTTGATTTCCTTGCAGTCAGGGGCCTCTCAAGAGTCTCCTCCAGCACCACAATTCAAAAGCATCAATTATTCGGCACTCAGCCTTCTTTATGGTCCAGCTCTCACTTCCTTACATTGCTACTGGAAAAACCATAGCTTTGACTATGTGGACCTTTGTCGGCAAGATGATGTCTCTGCTTTTAAAAATGTTGTCTAGGTTTGTCATCGCTTTACCACCCAACTTCGGGGCTGCTGTCACCATCTGCAGTGATCAGGGAGCCCAATAAAGTAAAATCTGTCACTGCTTCCATATTTTCCCCTTCTATTTGCCAGGAGGTGATGGGACCAGTGGCCATGATCTTTTTTTTTTTCCATATTGAGCTTCAGACCATTTTTGGCACTCTCCTTTCACCCTCATTAAGTTAAATAAGCAGGGAGACAATATACAGCCTTGTAGGCTCCTTTCCCAATTTTGAACCAATCAATTATTCCATATCCAGTTCTAACTGTGGCTTCCTGTCCCACATATAGATTTCTCAGGAGATAGATAAGGTGGTCAGGCACTCCCATTTCTTTAAGAACTTGCCATAGTTTGTTGTGGTCAACACAATCAAATGCTTTTGTGTAGTCAATGAGGCGGAAGTAGATGTTTTTCTGGAACTCTCTGGCTTTCTCCATAATCCAGCACAGGTTAGCAATTTGGTCTCTAGTTCCTCTGCCCCTTCGAAATCCAGCTTGTATTTCTGGGAGTTCTCGGTCCACATACTGCTGAAGCCTACCATGTAGGATTTTGAGCATAACCTTGCGAAATGAGTGCAATTGTACAGTAGTTGGAGCATTCTTTGGGATTGGGATGTAGACTGATCTTTTCCAATCCTCTGGCCACTGCTGAGTTTTCCATACTTGCTGGCATATCAAATGTAGCACCTTAACAGTGTCACCTTTTAAGACACCAGGTAACATTCACCAGGTAAAAGCTGCCAACAGTGCCAAATTAAGTCAAATTAATGATTTGCCTTGTGGGCATAAGGAGATTTTTCTTTATGTTCTAGTCACCTTTGGTTGATGTGCAGAATTCACCTGGCTGACGTTGAGAGTCCACACTGTCTTGTAGGTGGTGCTGAGCGTGGCCATCAATGGCATCTTATATAATCTGCCACTCTATCTATTACACCACACTGAGTATCGCATATAAAAATATATGTTCTTATATTTCATGAATATAAGGAAGCTGAATCTTTGTAAAACCACACAAAACAATTACTTTCATGTATTGTTATTTTGGAATACATCTTGTAGTCTTATGTAATGTCAGCTGCTTAAAATTCATCATGAAGGATAATAGCAATAATACATCATTTGTTTTTTTCTGTTTTAGAAAGGAAAGAAAGCCTAAAACTCTGCTCATTCTGATAAGTTCCTCAGCCCAAAAGATACTACTAGATTGTACGGAACATTGTTATAATATCACTTCCAAAGGGGTGACCATGTTAAATCTATTTTAAAAAAGAAACAAGTCTTTTGGCATCTTAAAGACCAACAGATTTTTGTGGCATATGGTAGCTATTCCTGGCCTAGAGGCCACTTCATACATCTGACTGAGGTGGGCCCTAGTCCAAGAAAACATATGCCATGATAAACAGCTTTTGCAATTTGTGTGTATTCCGCCATCTTGTGGTGGAGGAGTTACACAGGTTCTGTGAGAGATTATTTCTTCCTATGATCATGTGCCATCATATCAACTGTGATTTATGGCAACCCTTTTTAAGGTTTTCCAGGTAGAGAATACTCAGAAGTGGTTTATATTCCCTTCTTCTGGAGTCGCCCTGGGACTGGGCAGCTTGCCCAAGGCCACACAGGCTGGTTCTATTCACAGGAAGCAAAGTAGGAATTTGAACTCCCAACTTCTGGCTCCACAGCTAGATATCTAATCCAATGAGCTATCCAGCCATTTTTTAAAAATTGTGGGGGTAGGAGAGACAAGTTAATCTGTTGGGGCACAAATAACGAAGAGTTTTAGTAGTAGGCCCCCATTTAAAAGGGACGTGGTGGCGCTGCAGGTTAAACCGCAGAAGACTCTGTGTTGTAAGGTCTGTAGACCTTCAGCTGTAAGATCGAATCCACGTGACGGAGTGAGCGCCTGTCGCTTGTCCCAGCTCCCGCCAACCTAGCGGTTTGAAAGCATGCAAATGCGAGTAGATAAATAGGGACCACCTCGGTGGGAAGGTAACAGTGTTCCATGTCTAAGTCACACTGGCCATGTGACCACGGAAGATTGTCTTCAGACAAACACTGGCTCTATGGCTTGGAAACGGGGATGAGCAACACTCCCTAGAGTTGAACACAACTGGACAAAAATTGTCAAGGGGAACCTTTACCTTTATATCCCTCTTTAAAAAAATGTGCCATAACTACAAAGTGACTGCCTGTTTTATACCTTCCTAACACAGCATGCTAAATGAGGTAGTTTATCAACTATCACAAGACACTTTTTTTTGGTAACAGATTAATGTGGCTGAAAGTTGTAATATACCAGCTGCTGGCCAGAATCCTGTTAGTTTTTTTACCCCAGCATAAGTTTAATGGCACACGCTATAGTGGCAAATCACTGCCAGTTAACAAGTTATCACTTTTATTTCTCATTGCACACGCAGTCACACAAGTGACGTACAACAAGGAATGGAAGAGGCCTCTTGTTAACTAGTGTCAATTTACCCCTGGGATTTATGACTTTCCACTTAGGTAAGTATAACTAGTCAACAGGATCCTGGCAATAAAAAAAAAACTCATTAGATTCTCTTTTAATTACTTACACTTTTTTAGGGTCTGGTTTCCTAATGGTGTTCTTTGTCTTTTATAAATTTTGTGGCATTGGCGATAGTTGATCCTACTTGCAAGATGAACTTGTGCATAATTGCTCAAATGTAACATGATTGTGTTCAAAATCAAAATTCATGTACACAGAATAACAAACTTGAAAATTATCTTTAGAATTAGAGTGACAGGTGAGGGGGAGGAAAGATTTAAAAAAGCTGCACAGAGATGTATATGGAAAAGGCATGTTGTACTCCTTGCCACTCTGTTTTGGAGAAATCACATTTCCCTGCAGACCTTGAAGAAATTACTGTTTCGGACTACAATTTTCAGAATCCCCTAACAAGCACAGCTAATAGTATGTACCTCTTGCAACATAAGCTGCTTCCTCAAGTGACTGTATAAACTTATTTTATTTATTTAAAATATTTTCACCCTGCCTTTCTCTTTAGCAATGGCCAAAGGTGGCTTACATCATTAAAAGATAATATTTAAAAACAGCAAGTAAACAGTAAATATTAACAAGGATCAAAAGAATACAACACTTGAAACAGAAAACAAAAGCAACACTAAGAACACATTAAAAGCAGTAAAGCACAACAATCCATTTAAGAACAACCCTACCCCCTCAGGCAGCCAGTCACTAAGGGAAAGCCTCAGCTAAGAGAAAAGTCTTTGCCAGCTTGCAGGACAGCAAAGATGAGGCCAGCTGTGGGAGGGAGTTCCACAGTCTGGGAGCAGCAAAAGAGAAGCTCCCCCCCCCTCTAAATAATAGTATTTATTGTGTGCAGTCAGGTCAATTCTGACTTATGTCAACCCTTTGCAGGGGTTCCAGGTAGAGAATTCTCAGAAATGGTTTAACACCCCCCTTCTTCTGGAGGCATCCTGGGACTGTGCAGTTTGTCCAAGACTACACAGGCTGTCTCAAGAAGGCATGTGGTGGAATTGAATTCTCCATTTCTGGCTCTGAGCCATCTTTGTCCAAGACTACACCGGCTGTCTCAAGAAGGCACATGGTGGAACTGAATTCTCCATTTCTGGCTCTGAGCCATCCAGCCCCATGCGCTACCCAAAATATAGTGTAGCCCAAAGGATTTTTTTTCTTGTATTCGTGAAGGCTCCGTGAAGGACTTTTTTTTTCTTCTTCTCGAACTTCGTGCGGTTTTTTGTTTGTTTCATATCCAGCCCCGTGCGCTACCCAAAATATACTGTAGCCCAAACTATTTTTTTTTTCTTGTATTCGCGAAGGCTTCGCGAAGGATTTTTTTTCCTTCTTCTAGAACTTCGTGCGGTTTTTTGTTTGTTTCATTGACCCCCCCCCAAAAAAAAACCCAGAGGGAGAGAAGACTTCCTTCTAGTTACCAGTCAAAGAACAATTTAATTGCACACCTCAAAACCGTGACTTCTTTTTAAATGAATCAAGCATTCTCAAAGAAGCAAGAAACCAGCAGGTTAGGTTTTCGGTCCCCATGGGAAACGTAATTCCACTTTCCCGCTACGAAGCGAGGACAGCAAGCAGAAAACCTTCCAAAGAAAGTACTGTAGGGACCACAAGAAAACTGAAGTCAAAACGATTGATTTTCCCAGGAGGCTGTGCGCGAGAGGCGGCCTCGAGTCCCGAGCATGTCGAATGGATTTCTGGGGAATGTAGTTTTCCGGTTATTCGACGCCTTACCTTTCCTCCCCCCCTTTCTCCTTTTGGTCGCCCAGGGTCACGACAAACGCCAGAGAAGATGGCGCGGCCCTTCGCGCACAAGGCGGGGGTGTCGTTAAAGTGGGTGAAGAGCATCTCCGTCCGCTTCTGCCCTTTCGAGTCCAACGTGGAAAGCACCAGGTGAGGAGGGCCTTCGGGGTCTCCTTCTTTCGCTCCTTCGCCCCAAAGAGAGGCTGGACACACACACACACACCCCGGCATTGAGCAGCCGCATCCTTCGCCTGTTTACTCGGAAGTCAGCTCCCCGGAATAGAAAGGCGTTTGATTTCTTTAGGAAGGGGTTGCTTGGGTTTCCAATCTTACTTTGCAGTTTTAAACTTGCTTTCTCGGGAGTAAGGCCCTTAAGAGGAAGGGAGATTATTGTATTTCATTTTATCCTACTTTTCTCCCAAGGGAAATGGACAACAAGGCGGCGAACAGCAGCTCGAAAAAATGCATGTTTAAAAGCACAATGGATTAAGATATTAATATAGGAGTTATTTGTTATTTTTATTTCTCGGCTGCCTTTTCCTGAAAAGGGGACCCAAGACGGCTTGCAATATTAAAAGAATAGAATTGAAAACATAGTAAATTAAACATTAAAAAAAACCCACAAGAATTAAACCTAAGACAGTATTAGAAATGTCATTAGTTAAAACCCCACAAGAATTAAACCTAAAACAGTATTAGAAATGTCATTAGTTAAAACAGATTAATTAAGCTTACTTCAGAGTAAACATGCTTGAGTTCTCAGGAAACCTTCACAGGTAGGGAAGAAGTAATTCAGTGCCCGGAGGGTTAGGCTGTTAATAATGCCACTCAGAGTACCTATGAAAGAAGGTGGCCTCTAATAAGTGACTGCAATGGTGTTCAAGAGTTCCCCAGATTTTCTTTTACTTTCTTAATTTCTATGCAAGCCAAAGAAACCCCGCCAGATAGAAGAATGGCCACACATGTCCATCTTGCCCTGAAGCTGTGTGTTCTGATTTGAATAATCAGCAAGTAATCCCAGGTGAAGGAGCTGATAGGCAGTGGCTCCATAATATGGATGGAAAACCTCTGTGCACTCAGTGGTATAATGTATGGATTGAGAAAAAACTCCAGTGTTATGTATGTTTGGGTGACACCGCAGAATCAGGTTGCTGTAACCTTCATAGTTAAATGCCAGGCAATAATTTCTGGGCATGAAGAGGTGTCGGTGGTAGTGTAAGAACTTCCCCTGTTGAACTTTTATTCATTGTGTTTTATAGGAGACCTGCCTAAGAAACTGCTGTTTCTGAACAATAATTACACAATATGTTAAATAAATTGTGTGTGTACAAAAAACTATAGCAACTTTTGCGCCTAACAGAGCACTAGGTCAAGCTATGAATTTCAGTGTATTGCTGTTGAGTCTTGTCTTTGTAAATTACTCAGAACCTTTTTGGATGAAGAGTGAGGTATAAGCACTTTAAATAAATAATGCTGGAGAACTGGAAAACCAAAGAGGTACTTTTCATTTAACTCAATTTACATCGTAAGCAAACAGGGTCTGGCCATGATTTCGCTTCAATCCAGAATAGCGTCTTGGCTATTTCCCTGTTAGTATCTATGAAAAAAAAAATTATTTGTTGTTGAACCATGCCATTTGCAAGTACTTTGGTTTAACTGTTATGCTTTAGCTAACTACACTATCTTTTGCTTTTAAAAAATGTTTTTTAATATATATATTTGTGTAGCTTTTCAGTTTGTTCCACTTGAAAGGCTTGTAGTTTTCAGCAGTTCTCGGGCAGATAAGGCCAAGGAAAGTTCACTGCAAAGATGAAAACCAAGCAAACGCTTTCCAAAATCATAAAAGTTGCAGTAGTTAGCATCTCCTTTTCTAACATGAATGTGTTTGTATATTACTCTTTGTATATTACTCTTGTTGTGAGAATGGCTGACGGTCGGATTCCAAAAGATCCCCTGTATGGAGAAAAACCGCATCAGAAAAACTGCAGGGAAACCACCCCAGAGATAGACCACAGTTGCGATACAAGGATATCTGCAAGTGGGATCTGAAGGCCTTATCAATGGGAAACATTGGCATCTGAGCGTTCAGTCTGGAGGCAGGCGGTGCAGCATGGTCTCTTCCAATTTGAAGAGACACTTGTTCAGCAGGCCAAGGCAAAGAGGCAATCCCGAAAATCAGGGAGCTGGACAGGGGACAGGTTGTATTTGTCTTCAGCATGGAAGGGATTGTCACTCTTGTATTGGCCTTCTCAGCCACACTAGATGCTGTTCTAAGACCTCTATTCAGAGCATGTTACCATAGTCTCTCAAGACTGAAGGATGCCTACACACAATCTGAAGAAGCATATATGGGTGCAAAAACATACCAGTCATGAGTTTTTGCATTCTACAGACTCTTTTGAGCAACTGGTATGGCAGAATATTCATCTGCAAGGAGTCATTTGTCTCAGCGTTGAAGTCTGTGCCCCCGCCCATGTTTCAGAGTTTTGCCATATTTGTTCTTGGGCTTCTGTGCCTGAGATCCATGATCTCTTACACTTCATTTGATAGTGAGGTCTTCAGTGTAAGGATGTATTCAGTTGTATTTTGAACTTCTACCCATGTAAGTTTGGGGGAGGGGGAAATCCTATTTTTGTAGCTTCTTCCAATCTATATTTCTAAAACATCTTTTCAGACATTTTCTTGAATGCGTGTTTGCAAGGAAAGCCTACAAAACCAACATGAACTGTGATGTGAAAACAGAAGTAAGGCATGATGGATCTGAACCCATAATAGACGTCACATTTGGTAAGAAATGAAGCTTGTTTCATCACCAAGACCAGGGGCTTGTGTGCAAGGTGGCATGCAGGTGGCATCCTGTGTCAAGGCGATTTTTGTAGCCACTGCTCCCAGGGCTGGCACTAGAGTACTGTGCAAAAGCTATTGAGCTAAAACAACGTGCTCCAGGAGTGGGCAAATCAGAGATTAATCATGGTTTCTGAAGGAGCTTCCAGAACTACAGCTGCTCTTTAAAGCTAGCCACCTGCTTTTGGAGTATGTTGTTTCACCACAAAAAATTGCTTTGGACAAAGAGGAACTAGTTTTCTCCCACTTTCAGTTGCTGCTGTGCTGTCACGTTTTGGCAATGTGTAGTAGGGTGTCTAGCACAGAGCATGATTTTTAGAGGTGTAAAATTACCCTTTGAATTTGTTCACTTGCTCCGACTAATATTCTGTTTTCTGGCATACCAGATATATTTTCAATCTGTTAAGGAACAAAGATACCACATATTAATGTGACATCTCTATTTGATTTTATAATATTCCAATTTGGAATGGCTCACTTTAGGGCTGTTATTAGTTGGAAATTAGAAATCCTTGTTGATATAGAATATACTGAGCATATTCTGACTTACTTTATGCTCTGTCCACCTCAAAATCTAGAGAACAGATTTGGTCCTTAAACTACAAAGCTTAGCCATCTCTGACTTAAACAAATCAGTATTCGTCTGTATTTCGGGATGCTAGAAAAATTGGTCCCAGTTTACTTACAGAATCCTATTGGGAGGAAAAATGCAGTATTTATACCAGAAGACGTAAGGGTACTTATGTTTCCTACCTCAAAAGCCATTGCTTTAATCCCTTTCCCTTTCTTTTTAAACAAATTTTGTTGCTGTCCTAGGAAATATTTCTGTTGTACAAATATTGGGGTTTAAGCTTTGTACTGAAATATTCCTGCAGTCTCATCACTCCCTTCCCCTCATTTCAGTTTCCTTTTATTTCGTTAAGAAATAAAAGATTGCATGAATTTACTCCAATGTGTTACCTGTGCCAAGTTTGCAGCAAACTTTGACTCTGCTGACTTTCCATTCTCTGTGTGTGTGTGTCTGGTACGCGTGTCATTTACAGTATTTTTCCATGTGAAAGATGATACTTTTTCCTAAAATCATTGGAGGGAAAATTGAGGGTCGTCTTTTATATGGAAGTAAGCTGAGGAGAAAACCATGGGGTAGCAAAACTGCCTACCCTACACTCATTAGTGGGGTCTGGAGGTACCTCTGTGCCAGGACCCACCCCCTCTGTTTGCTCATTAGTGGGGTCTGGAGGCACCTCTGTGCCAGGACCCACCCCCTCTGTTTATGCTGCTGCTTCACAGATCTGAAGCAGCAGGTGCTCTTCCTCCTCACCTGCAAGTGGATGGAAATGGAGGGGTAAAGCAGCGATGATCTCAGCCCTTTGATCCTGCAACCCTTTCATCACTGCTTCATCCCTCCATTCAGGGCTTAGGAAATGGAGGGGTAAAGCAGCGATGATCTCAGCCCTTTGATCCTGCAACCCTTTCATCACTGCTTCATCCCTCCATTCAGGGCTTAGGAAATGGAGGGGTAAAGCAGCGATGAAATGGCTGCAGGATGGCAGCCCTTTGATCTGCAGCCCTTTCATCGCTGCTTTCCCCCTCCACTTCCGCAGCCCTTTGATCCTACTTTTGAGGGCCTTAGGAAGTGAAGGGGGAAAGCAGCAATAAAATTTTCTTATTTGGGTTGTAAAAGTAGAGGGTGTCTTATACATTGGGTCATCTTATACGTGGAAAAATTGGGTAAGCAGGGAAGGAAAAGGATGGAAATATTGCCATTGACAGTGTGCTGTGATGCCACTAGATGGCTCACTGTAGTTTTTAAGAAGCTAGTTTTAAACTACAAATGAAGCTAGGATAATTTTTTAAAGGTAATTGGGATGATAAGCACATGTTGTGATGCTATCAGGGCACAGGGCAAATTTAACGTGATCTTAGAGGGGCAAGAATTTGACACAGAGCTCTAGTGTCCATGGAATTGCATCTTCATATGGTAGCTATAAATAGATGTGGGCATCTTTCTGATCTGTGTGATCACTATAATTGGCCATCAGAAAATTTTGTGATGTGGGAAAATTCATATGAGCATAAAACATAATGAGATAGCTCTCTGGGGTTTTTTCTGCACTTTCCCTTTATTCCTGAGCTGTACCTTGTAGAATTTTACGGCCTGTTAAATGTATAAACTTGTTTCCATCACATGTGGTCCCTGTATTGGGAGAAAGGTTGGTTATAAAATAATGAAATCACAATCAGGCTCACATCTAAGTCAGCATATTAATTTATATTATTTTCACATCAGATGCATGCAAATATGTTGACTGTTCTGAGTGAACATTAGATACAGTACAGGAGAATGCTCATTTTTGCTTCTGGGAGTATTGTTAAATGCTTTAGGCATATACATGGAACTCTGTGTGTACTGGTCACAGGTATGTTTTTTTTTAATTTCTGCACATCTTTTGATTTTGAAAAATCTCTTTGCAAGGAACAATTTGTAATCAAAGATGCATTTCTACAAGTGAGTATTTCAAGTTTTAAAACACAGTACTGCAACATATTACAAATATTTTAAAATGTTGAGACCATTCGGAGTATTCATCTGATACTGTTCTGTAAATTGTCATTAATTGCCTTTTGTTTTTCTCTCTCTTTTGTCTTCTGCTTTTTTTAACAGTTGATGGAGAAAAGCTGATTATGAAAGCAGCTAACTTAACAATCCGTGACATGTTAGATGTGTTCAAGTCAAAATGTGAACTCAGAGATCTTAAGTCATAAGAGAAATTTGGAAAAGAGAGTTTTTGAAAGCTGGTGAATGAAGAGAGCATATAAAACAGGCAACCAACGTCTTCATTCAGAATGGCAAAGCCTTTATCAACAACTGAAATAAATGTGTGGTGTATATGGAAAGAAGCCAGACTGCTTTTGAGAAATAATTGAATGCTTTTTTTATTTTTTTTTTAAATAAAATACAGAATTCTAATGGCTCTCTTGTACAACATCCAATACTGCCCCAAAGTCATTCAAATAGGTGGGAAGCCCTTTTCTTTCAGTTATAGCTAGGCAATTGTTTTTCTCAACACCCTTGTTGATTATGGTTTGTTTTTGTTTTGTATATGAGGATGTTCACAGTGTACTCATTTGCCCTAGTCCCTCCTCTTTCCCTGATTTGCTTCCCACATACAGGCAAATTGAGGAAAAAAGAGATTGCTCATTACACTTTTGAGCATTTCTTACTAAAGCTTCGCAGTTCCTGGCAGTTGGGTAATTAGTTTAAGTTGCTAGGGACAAAGTAATAGAGCCTAATCATTGTGCAATGTACATGTCAATTGGGCAATAATTTGGGGAAGTTGGCAGATTAACCCGAATAAACCTACTGACTAGGTTTTCTTTCTTTCTTTGACTTAGTATAATAATTATGTACTATCAAGTAAATTCTGACTTATGGCAACCATTTCTGGTTGTTTAAAGCAGTGGTCCCCAACCTTGGGCTTCCAGATGTTCTTGGACCACAGCTCCCAGAAGCCTTCACCACCACCTCTGCTGGCCAGGATTTCTGGGAGTTGAAGTTCAAGAACATCTGGAGGCCCAAGGTTGGAGACCACTGGCTTAAAGCACAGCACAGTCAGGATGGTATCGGCTTGCCTCTTAGAAGTGCTGAGTACAGTGAAGAAATATTTATGTGAATATGAGAGAGAGGGTTCACATAAATTATTTGATATTGTACATTTGTACATCAGTTGCAAAACAGAACCTATTTACTAAACTTCACCTACATTTATGCCTGAGCTTGTCTGTACCTTATTTGTCCAGATAAATATCAGTGTAGGCTCTCTGATAGTACTTGATGTGGAGCATACTTGGGGAAGTTCCATTTAGTGTGTACAGCACTGATCTAGATGGACCAATGTTTTGGCAGCTTTCTGTTCATGGATGGAGAATCTTTTTGACCAGTGAACTGCATTCACTTGTATATTATCCCCACGGACACTGGAGTGCCCTTGCAATGCAGATTTTAAGAGTGTATACTGGCCTGTATGGGAAGGAAGAGTCACTCACTTCCTGCTTCACAGACACAAGCTACTCCATCATTGGGATGAATTACATGGAATCCACCCATTGTGTAGTTAAGAAACAATGAATGGGCGGAGGAAGAGAATTTCATTAAGTGATGGGACATTCATGCAAAGGGTTCTATATCCTGTCCGAAATCCAAGACGAATTACTGCCAAACAGTGCTGAGCTTCAATGAACTGATGTCCTGTTTTAGTATAAAGCCACCTCCTGTGATCCTAACACCAACAATTGGGACATTACCTTATTTCTGGAAAGCAGCATTGGGAAGGTAAAGGTCTGTTTCTATTGCACAATGATAATGGCGGTACAAGTAAAAACAATTGTTCTATCTTAAAAGTATGGGTGCTGCAATAGGAGCCTCTCTATAAGAATGACAAATGTCAACAGTTTCTGGGAAATTGGGAAAATCCTGTGACACTAAGCTGATGAGAACAATTTGGGAAACATAAATTCCTGAGAACAATCTTCAAAATGACTGCTGGAGTTTTCAAACAACTTTGGCCTTTGAAGTGCCATAAAGTGTTAATTCACCTCATATTCCTTACTGGGAAAGAAATCACCCAGTAAGCATCTGGAGATAGCAATCTTAGCATCCCTTTCAACTGGATGAACAAGCTAGCTTTGAATTAAGTGAGTTTTTATCTCCTTAAAATAGGCCTACCTAGGGAACAGATTCCTTTTGCATATTGACTCAGAAAAGAATCCCACTGAGTTTGCTGAAACTTCTTAGAAATGTGTTTTTAGAACTGCAGCCCCATTAGTTCTAAATCCAAGTAACTTGACTGAACAGGTCAGAAAACTAGACATACTGTGTTTGTATGATTCAATATTTTTCATTATAGCTGTGTAAACTTTATACTTAATGAAAAAAAAACAGAATAATTTGGAGGGACCAAGTTCTATATTTTGAATGTGTTGTGGTAATGAATGGGCCAAACTAGCATTTCATTAAAAGTGACATTGAAGTCCTTATTGCCTTCATCTTAATTGATTAAAGGAACACCTCTAATGTGCAACTTGGCTCACTGGCATCTCTGTTTTTAGACAGCCCTCCCCAGTGACAACCTGAGTGTCTCTCCTGTCCTAGCAGCATCTCCAGGGAGAAGGACTTCAGTACATTTAGGTCTTTGCTTACATCCATAATGGGGAATAAATTCTGTGCCTATAATTTGTATAATTTACAAAGATTGCAGAGTGAGTTCTTATAGAATGTGAACTAATTTGTAACTGGTACAGTGGGGTCTCTACTTAAGAATGTCCCTACTTAAGAACAATCCAACTTAAGAACAGCTCCATTTGCTAAATTTTGCTTCTACTTGAGAACAGAAATCCAAGATAACGGGAAAAAAAACCCTTCCTGCTCTTTTTTTAACCTTAGGTCATCTTAGGTTAAAAAAAATTCTCCCCCTAGTGGTAGAGTACGTATTAACCAGCTTTGCATGAGTTCCTATGGGAACTAATGCTTCAATGTACGAACGCACCTCTACATAACACAAAAACAGCCAGAACGGATTAATTGGTTTTCAGTCCATTCCTATGGTAAATTTTGCTTCAACTTAAGAACGTTTCAACTTAAGAACGCCATTCCAAAACGGATTAAGTTCTTAAGTAGAGGTTCCACTGTAGTTTCTATGGACGGAAAAGAGCAGATACGGATTAAATGGTTTTCAATGCATTCCTATGGGAAATGCAGATTCAACATAAGAACTTTTCAACTTGAGAACCACCTTCCAATACGGATTAAGTTCTTAAGTAGAGACCCCACTGTACATTAAACAGTATGTTTAACAGAACTGAAACAGTGGAGCAACTGTAGAGGGCTGCTTCATAGTGAGAGGAGAGACCCAAGGAAATGATGAATATTGCCAAGAAGGTCTTGGGGGGAAAAAAACCTTGCTTGAAACTCTGCAGAGATGCTGCCAGTCAGAGTTGACTACTGACCTGGGTGGACCAATGGCCTAGAACAGTGGTTCCCAACCTTGGATAATCCAGGTGTTCTTGGACTGCAATTCCAGAAACTCTGGCCAGCACAGCACATGCCTTACCCAAGGTTGGGAACCACTGGCCCAGCAGTATAAGGCAGCTTTCAATATTATCTCTCCTCCAGGTTTATCCGGAGGACAACCGTGTGAGGCAGGACAGAGTGAGACAGTGACTGATACAAAAACTGGTCTTTTAATGACTTCCTAGGAATGTGAACTTCAGAGATTAATTCTTGATTTGAAAACCAATGTTGCCCAAACAAGCCCCTCGTTTTGTTTTGTTTCATTGACATTAACTCATTTTGGTAGAGTTAACATAAACAGAAACACTTGTTTTCTGGTTCAAGCTGGCTCTAGCTATGTAACCTACTGCTTTGCCAAAGAAATAAGGAAATTAAGAAGAAATATCTAGTTTTGCACAATATGACTTGTGGCTCAGCAGAAGACACACTCTCTTTTTATAGAATTGCATTGTCAGCTTTTTTTACACCATACTGTATATGCATGACTATATGAATTCTGGACTTTCTACTTTAGAATTTCTGAAAAGACAGATGACAAATTATGTTGCAGACCCTGCAAGGGACTGAATGGGTATAAGTATCTTAATTAGTAAACAATTATACTAGGGTTTTCCAGCTCATAGTTTCCAAGCATACGTAGGTGAAATTGTTTTTTTAAAAGACTAACAATAGAGATAAGGATAAACATGAGTGATGTACATCATTTATGTGTAATCCTCAAAACAATGGTGCAAAATAAGATTATTATCCTCCATATTGTGGATGAGGGAACTGAGACTGACAGTAAGCAGTTTCCCTAAGACCACCTAGTGAATGCATGGCAGAGGCAAGATTCAAACAAGAAACTTTTGAATCCTGCTTCAGGCTCTTAGCCACTATGTACCATGCAAGTTCTCATCAGATTAGAACTTCACACTAGCACCTCCGAATTTAAAGCCAGAGTGTTAATATTTTTGCATGCGGAGTGTCTCCTAATGCAAAGTATACCTTATTTCCCTGAAAATAAGACCTAACTTGATAAGCCCTAGGATGATTTTTTTCAGGATGCTCATAATATAAGCCAGGGTCTCAAAAATTCCAATTTTCTCAAATCTCTTTATTTTTAACACAAAATAAGATAAAAAATAAAGAAATTAAGAATTAATAAGAAAAACCATAAATAAATCAGTTAATAATAGTAATAGTAATAGTAATAGTAATAGTAATAGTAATAGTAATAATAGTAATAATAGTAATAATAGTAATAATAATAGGGATGAACAACCATTATAATGCCGGAAGCTTTCACACCCATTCCATAACTGGGCTGGCAAGAAATAGCAAAGTGGCTCCATTCTGACTGATCTTGTCACAAGCTAGCCCTGCTCTGTGGAATTTCCTGACTGTAGCTGAAATGGGCAATGTAAGGAAAAGCCCTTTTCCACCCTTTTACATTTAATGATAAGGATGTTCTTTCTAGAACTTGCATAATGTATACTCCTACTAAGAAATCCAGGTCACAGACATTGGCCAAAATGCTCATGCATAGTTACACTGGCATATAATACTGAAAGCATAACTTTTGAAAGTGAGTTAAATTAGAAAATCCCCATAGAATATCTGTTGCATACAGAGTACACAACAAATAATGTTCCTGAATCAATAAACATGAAATAATATTTATTATCATTTCCTAATTTGAGGCGATTTGTCTCCAAATGTTACTTCGTGAGTAGCTATGCTAGTGTGACTGCAAGAGGATGTTGGCCACTATTATTGTGAACTTCTATCAAACCGCATATGACTGTGTTGGATACTAGGCAGAATCTATTGACTGAACATGCAAAATAGAAAATTGCTGGAAATGCTTCAAACAAGGTGAAGCCCTCATTGCTACTCTTGTGGCTAGTCATTGCCCCCTGTGGG